AACTTCTTTTTAATTTTTTTTAATGAAAAAGAGAAGTAAAGCTGGAGTAGATTCTTAAATCTAATAATTATATAGAGAAATATATTTAAGAATATCTAACGATATTCTTAAATATAAGAAGTGTTATTAATGCATGACTGTGAATTAATATGATGAATCAAATAAAAAGGTGAGGCTCTGCTAAGAGTGAAACAATAACATGGCTTTTTATCCTCAAAGTATCATTAGAAGATTCTTCCTTTTGCTTGCCTCCTTTGTTCACTGCGCAGCTATTGCCTTCAGAAAAGGGAAAAAAAGTCATAGCTAAATGTTGAGTGAGAAGAGCTCATTCCTCCCCTGTGGTGCAAAACATAAATAGAAGCAAGTGACCAAAATATAGAAAAACTTTCCCTAGTTTGTACAATAGTTCAATAAAGAATGGGGATATTGAACAAAGTCTTTTGATTCACAGTGCCATTTTATGCAAGCCTCAAAAGTTTTCAATCATTTTAATTGTCATAATGAAAATCCCTGATGTTTGTGCCAGACTGTTTTTGTTGCATTTTTTTTGCTTTTTTTGTGAGAGAAAACTGCTTTTAGGGTCAGTCAATAGAGTTAAAATGTGTGCCAGGTTCTGGGAGAAGATAAGTACATGGTTTCCTGAAAATGTACCTTAATGTGGCTCACCTATTAAAAGGAAGTCATCTAGAATATCTCTTCTTAGTGATGGGTGGCCTTCCATCCTAAGTTACATTTTGATTATGCCATTTCTCAATAGTTGTCTTACTGTGTAACCTTTTAGCTTCAGTCTCACTCTCCTGGCTTTCAGTGTGAGGGTTCTTACAGGTATTTCCCTTGAAATAACCAACATCATGGTGTTGACCTCAGGGTGTTATAAACCACTTGTAACAATTCACTCACCAAGGGGCATTCCTGAAAACTATAGACAGTTTTCAGGAAGCATATAAGCGGTGACATCTTCCTGTGTTGATTCCAATATGCTTTTGAGGAGGTTTTGCAGAACTTTGTTTTGGTTTGGTTTTGTGGTTTGGTTGTTTTAGTTTTATCTTTTAATAGAGTTTAATATAAAATCTTTTTACTATTTTTACACAGGCATGTTTTCATTTAGACTACAATGTTTAGGAACTGAATGTGCCTTTTGTATGTATGCAGAGCCCTCAATAAAGAAAAGTCATGTTCTTGTAGTTCCAGTTAGCACTATAAATAGCTTTAGAATAATGTTGTGCTGAGAGCCATAGAGAGCCCCCATAGATACCTCCCAGAATCTCGTCAAAAGGCAGAAGAGCAATGTTTTTTGGAGCTCAAAAGAGAGAGAACCCTTGCTGGTTATGTCTCTTGACATGAATTTCACCCAACATCACAAGTAGAGGGGAGATATCTTCTAGTTTCCTTTTGGCTTTTTACCCTGGTTGTGTTTCCTATAAAATTGCTTGACCCTTAGTAAAGGCAACTGCAATTACAGTGTCAATTGCCACTTTATGAAGAGAACTCAAGGATAAGCCTCTGTGTTCCACATCCATTTCCTCCTGCCCATAAACAGCCCTGTTTCTCTGACGGCTCTTTCATCATCATCAACTTGACCTAATGCAGAATTCTGTCTGCTGCGTCCTTTTGTGTTGCCGTGGATGTCTCAGCCATTCTTCAAGTCAGCTTAGGCCTGCTCTTGTAGATTCTTTCTGCACAGTATCCTTGAGGTAAAACCTGTCCAAGCTATCCATGCAGCTAAAAAATTACTCACATGGAGTCTTGCATCTCACTTACTTCATCATCAATTTCCCTGGCCATGACTTGACAAAAGCAGTCTTGTCCTACTCTCATTCATTCAAAATGAGCACTTCTGTCTTTTTTTCCATTTCACTTTGTTTTTCCTTCATTGACTCCTTCTGTTCTGTCTCATCAAGATTAACTACTAGCTTCCAGTGTCAGGGCTACTCAGAGTCTTTAACTCTCTACTCAGTATTTGTCTTTTTTTTTAATGTGAGAAGAAAGACTTTCCTTAGTAGATGTTAAAACACATTGGTGTCAATCACTTGCCCCTTGTATTCTTATACTAGCATCTCTGACCTTATATGATTCCTCCTCCAAGGGATGAAGATCTTGGGAATCTAATGGCATGTTTCATTGCCCTCCCACAAATCTTAAAATGCTCATTCACTGTGATGCCTCAGTGTTCTTGGCACCACTTAGATTAATTAGTTACTCGTGTAACTAATTAAACTGTAGAACTGTAACTAACATTCCATGTCCAGTCCACTGTGTTTTTGAAAATCCTCATCTGTATCCTAGCTCTTGCTGATTGTTTGAAAGAGAAAAGTTGCTTTGAGGGAAAGGCCATCATTCTAATGTGTTTGGTGTTTGTACAAAGCCTGGCACTCTGGCTCTTGGCAGCTCAGAATCAGCAGGTGATTAAGGTATGCTTTGTGTCACTGGGTCTATGTAAATGGTTGATGGATTGTGATTTGTTGTGGATTCCAGCAGATTGTTCCAGACACCTTCATTGAACTTGCCACATATGCCACTTTGATAGTAATATACAGGCAGGCATATAACACCTGGAGGTGTTGATACATCATGAAATATTTATAAGTATAGGAATAATGTAAAATCTCATCCAGACTCGATCCATCATTTTGAAACGTTTCATACCTGAAAAATCTCTCAGTGTTCTGTACAGCCACCCATGGAGGCTTCATGGAGACTGCAAATGCGCTTTTAATATGGATTGAAAATGAATAAACCAAACTCTGAAATTCAGTTAAGTTTAATTTTTAACACCTGATGTAAAAGCTAGTTTTTTGCATGCTGGGGACAACATAATTGGTAATAATCATTTGAAATGTTTCTCTGTGTTAGCTATTTGCAGCTTTAAAGTAATTTTCATTCCAAAAGTGTGTTTGAAAAATGCTTCAAGGCACTGAATTCCTAAATACAGACTAAAAGGTGGAGCCTTGATATGCTGGGCTTAGATCTGTTCAGAGTATCCAAGTGTACGTGCATTCACTGATTTTGTTTGAAAAATTCAGCATAACATCTTAGCATCTTAGTTCAAGTTGTATCAGAGTTTCACAAATACCATGATAAAACAATGATAGCCTTCAGATAAAAACCATCTGTTAGCAGTAGATTCAGTAACTGCTGATCACTAAAATGCATTTAAAACTTAGACACAGACAAAACCACATTGACCAATGCACTGAGTCAGGGCCTAATAACAGCAGCCCAGGCACCATTACACTGTACTGTTATACATGCTGTTCATCTTCCCCACTGTGAAATCCTGCATACGTCACCATCTCTGCCCTAATTTTGTCAATAAAGCTCTTCATTAAATTAAATAGCCAAAACAAGTTATCCTCTAGAAATTCTGATTTAGCTCTCTAGAGTGTTGTTTTTTTTTTTTTTTAGCTTTTAATAATCAGCTATAAATAGATGCAAACAAACATTTTCAAAAAGCAAGTAAATGAGCTTATGTATGTCTGCAGGAAAATGTTTTGACTGTGTAACTATGATAATGTGATTGACAAGTAGGGAAACAGCAGGGTTTATTTTATTTTTCTGGCTTGGTAAGTGAAATGCTACCTGGATGGAACACAGATGTGTAATCCATTTTTCCCTTCTAATTAGTGATACTTTGAACTCCTTGGGGGAGACCAATTTGTGGACCCCTTGCTGCATTATGCCTTCAATAAACACATATACTGACTCTTAAGCACAAATCAAATAGCTCAGCTTCTGAAGCCTGATTTTGCTTTCAGTCTCAGTATATTGCTGTGTGATTTTTACAGCTTGGTATCTTGTAGAATTTGTGGAGTTAAAAACATACTTGTGTTAGTTTAATGAACTCATTGTGAGAAGTGTAGCTTCTTTTTCCTTTGTTTGGGATAAAAGATAAGCTGGTACTTAATTTAGTCAGAAAAGTTAAAATCAAATAGTTATTTTTCTTCTAAGTCACTTAAAATTTCTCACAATATAGTATTTATATAGTAAATTTTATAATTTGAAAAAGAAGAGTGAAAAAAATATTGCAGTTATTAGCACTGAAATCTGTCTGAAAGTGTGGATTGCCATGGGAATAGTCACTTCTCAGTCCCATCCCAGGCTCTGCCAGTGATCTACTATATTTTAGCAAGCAACCTACTCATTGGCTTCCCTTGAGACAACATGTATAAAATGGACATGTGGCCACATCATTTACAAACAGTATGATGTTAGTATTCAGTTCTCAAAATCTATCTACACTCAGAAGTCCCACTTATTTCAGGTGGAAATAACTTTTGGTTGGATCTCAGGAGCATTACTTATAATGTACATGTTTGAGAGATGACTAATAGATGAAAAGTTTATAGAGGCTTTGTATTTTGAATTTGGTTTTTGTTTTGGTAGCCTAACAAAGTAGAAGGAAACCAAAGCACATTAGTAAGAGATAACAACAGCACTCAAAAAATATAAGACTCAAAAAAGGGAGACCATTGTGGTTTAGTCTAATCTGATTCACCAGTGCTGAAGTAAGCACATTTTAGTCTAATAAGAAATTTAGTGTACCTACTTTCCAAAACTTAGACCTGATTTAATGCAGTAAGTAGTGTGATTGTTCACACATGATCTTTTACATCAAATTCAGCAAAGCCACATGGGAGCAGGATACACAGGCCTGTATTTCAGATATTGTGAAGGAAGCCCTGGTTATGATGGCAAGGCCCCTGAACCTGTGTCTGAAGAACAGAAGGAAGTCTCACATAGCCAGTGTTTGCTGTGCAGTTGGAAGCAACATCTTAACCCAAGCAGGTTTTTCTATCATCTGCTTTGTAATAGGGCAATAATTTTGCTGCTTTTCAGTTTGATACAGCAGTGTTATCTCTGTGGGAGTATCTGAGGTGCTGTTAGGTTTTTTGCTTGTTTTTACTTTTCTGTCTATAATAAGCAGTTACTGCGAGTGTTACTTGAAATAGCAACTATTTTCCCTGAACTGCAGTTTTATTTTCTTTTGGCTTTTATTTCAGCTGTGGGAGCCAGCTGCTCCAAAGAGTGTGGGAAGCTGACTTGGAGGCCTGTCAGCTGTTGATCCGAGGGTTTCAGCTGAAAGAAGCCAGTTGCTGTGGTTTTGAGGAAGAAGAGAACCAAATGGATGAGATGGAGATGACTGCTGATGCCTCACCTGATTCTGAAAAAGGAAAAGAAGGTCACTTTCTAAAGGGCACAGAGTGGGGTGCTGTTTCCTGCCCCAAACACAGGGAGCTGAAAGAGGTATCTGAAATACTCTGCAGCTGTATTTCAAGGGATACTGCTGGTTTTCCTGTTGAGAGAAGGAGTTGAATCTTTGTGATGGGTCAGCAGGGCAGGTTAAGTATGAACTTAACATCTGGCTTTCAATCTGGGACATGAATAAAATAGCTTATTAGCTTCTCAGAAGTCCCTCAGCCCTTTTCCCTTTTACCATCAGTCTTTTTAAAATGCAGAAATTATTCAGGCAATAAATACAGAATGTACATCAGGATTTAAAGGAAAAACTATTTAGGCAAAATTATCAGTTGTTCCTCATCTCACCAATGAGTTTCATTCTGAGCTGGTCCTGCTGACTTGTTAGCCTGGGTCATTGTTGGCTGACATGGAGAGAGAGTTACTTTTCCTCCCTTAGTGAAATGGTCAAAGGCTTCTGAGCTAATAGATGCTAATAGGCTTACGGTATCCAACGATTATTAAAAGGAGGAAAAAATAATGAAGCTTAGAAGGTTTGACAAATTTCTTTTATGTTTTCATGTTTTGATCTGGAACGCTATCCCTGCTTGAAAAATCAACCATTATCTAATAGTCTTTTAACTGTACTGCCTATGTCAACAAGCTGTTAAAAAATCTTCATCACCCAACAGCACCACTGAGACAAAAAGACCCTCCAACAGCAGTTGTTAGTTTTATTAGCATGGAATTAGGTTGAAAAAATTTAAATTATGCTTAATTGTATCTGATATTAAGAGCCATTGAACTGTGCATTGCTCTGAAATCTGATGCCTAATTTTGCATTTATACTGGCTGAGTTTTAGTGAAAAGCAGACCCATACCTGACTGTAAAATCTCCTCTTGTTAGTAAAATTCTGGTTTTATATTGGGCTTCAGTAGTTCTTGCAGTCTTTTGCCAGGGCAAATGGTTTACAGACTGGCTTCACAGAGAGAACATTTTATTAGAAATAGTCAGCTTGGCTTTGATTCCACCTCCATCAATGCCTTAGCATATTTTTTATGAGTCTACTGAAATAATATGAGGAGTTCTGTTGGTTATGGAAAGCTGTGCTCCTCTTTCAAAAGTGCTTAGAAGCTCTGGAGTGTTTGGTATTTTGTGACTGTTTCTGTAGCACTCCTGATATTTGTGCTATAGATTATCACCCCTTTCACCCCTGCAAACCCAGATTATTTCCTAGGAAATCAACCTTGCTATCCAAGAATGGCAGCTGGGCAGCTGAAGTGAGATGACTTCTGATTGTGGAGAGATCTGTGGGACTTGAGGGATGATTCCCCACATCTTGAATGGAAGAGGAAACTGTATTGGCAGTGACAGGCAGTATCTAAACTTTTAGAGAAGAGACATCACAGATTATTCCCTGACATCTCTTAGTAGTTCATCAAAAGGCGGAATATAAAAGCAAATGAAAAAACCTGACACAAATCATGCTAAATTCTGGTTTTGAACATGTTGAAGTGCAAGGAAAAAATTTGTCTTGATTTGTAAATGGACTTGAAAAGCAAACCACTTCTGAAGCATTTAAATGCTCTGTTATATGGTAGTGACTTTTTATTTAAAAATAATTCAATATTTGTGGCAAAAAAAAAATAGTGATGTGGTGTGTAGTCTCTCAACTTAGACATTTTTATCACTTCCATGGAAAAACTTATTCCTAGCCATTAGCAGGGGACCTTTTCATAGCCATTTATCAGCAAGTGAGGATACCTAATAGAAAAGCATGTATTTGTCAAAATATGTGGTTTCATATTATTTAACAAGGCTGTGGTGCCCCTGTGAGAGGAATGGCTTGCTGTGGTTGCCATGTTTCTGGAATGACTATGCTGTTCAACTGTGGCACAACCTCTGTTCCCCCTCAGGGAATTCCTAGAGAGCACCATTGGCCACTGAAGCAGAAGGAAAGAGTGTTCTTTGTACTTAGAGTTTACTGAATTAATCACTTCAAGACAATATAGGAAAGGCTGATAATAACATATGTGCATATATGCCTTGGAAAGTACATTACAGACCCTGGTGATTTATTTACTTTACAGTGGAATTCTATAAATGAAGCTCTCCACTTATTTATTGTATCATATAGAGCTAAGCACTAGTGCCAGGTGAATATTGGTTTTGTTGATGTGTACTATAAATAGTTTTCTTGCATATTACTGTATCTTACTCTATAGGTTTACTTTGAAAGCAAGAAAAACTAAGTAAGAAACATAACAGTAATAATAACAGCAAAATAGATGAAAGAGCTCTTTTGTAGATCCTCAGATACTGCTTTGCAGAGGGGCCATTTATCATTTTTAATTAAATAGCCTCACTAAATCATAAAATATGACATGTTCTGGTACAAAAATATGTAAGGTATAAATTATTCGAAAGTTTGTTATTTTACTATCATGTGAGCACAGCTTTATTAACTGTCAACAGTTGTTTTATAGTTTTCATAAGTGTGTTTTTTAAGACACTGATGATTTTTTTTCTACAGTTTTTTGTGGTAGACTGGCATCCCAGAATAATTCAGTAAATCAGGCTTCCATTACAACACTGTCTGTTAACTAGGGATGAAAATCAAACGCATTGACAGCTCAGTTTGTTGCAACATCATTAATGATGTTTCAGTAAAAGCTAAATAAAATGGGGCCAGCAAAAATCATCCTGTGAACCACTCTGAGTTACTTGAATAAGATGTGCTTCTCTCAGTTGAAGATAACTCATTAGGTTCATTAGGCTAGCATTAGAAAAAGACTGGAGCAAAGTTGCAGACAGTATTGCTACCCTCAGTCATGTGGAATGTATTTGATGTGGATTCTTGAATTCTCATATAAGTGTGTACTTTCTAGCTGGTAGCTGTGTTGGTGAAATTAAGGTGTCCCATCATTTCAGTTGTAGTTTGACTTTTTGTGAGTATTTGGCTTGATTTTCTTCTAAGCCTCTGAACAATTTAAGGTGGGTTTTGGCTTTCATCCCACATATGTTTCATGCTTTTAAACTGAGGTGGAAATTGCAGTGATCATTACTACATGGTTAGATGCAATCTGGGGGATTTCTAAAATATACAGCATCATTTCATTTCTCTTCAGACATTAATGACTGCTTCTTCCACTCCTTATAATATCTTGCTTTATTTTTTTTCTTCTTGATAATATATGTGTAAGCAAACACTTTCATAAAGAGCTTTTACAAACAACAAAACACCAGTGATCACTAATAAACTGAGAGATTTGTGTGTGCTGGAACCTCCCTAACAGCAAGTAACCTGATGAACATGGCTATGTGTGCACCTGCAGGCTTGAGTTCCTGACCTATCCTTTTTTCTTCTTCTGCTCTCTGGCATGCTGTGCAGTGCTCCCTCTTAATCACTATGAAGGAAAGAAACACCTACTAGATTTCAAGAAAATTGAGGTGGTTAAAGTTACAAGGTAAAATCCAAAATTCAGTAGTTTTACCTTCTGTAAGTCAGCATTTTTTGGTAGTTGTCCCATCAGAATTGTTTGTGGTTAATTTCTTACTTTTTCATCACAAAGAAAGTAGAGAGCAGGGATAAGGATAAGATCAGCTGTCTTTTTCCTCTTCTCTGCATAGTTCAGTTTAGCCATCTGGGGTGATGTTTTGGGGTTTGTTGAAGATCACTCTGGTGTTTGGAAAATGTTCTATAATTGTAAAGTCTTCATGAGATGAAATTTTTAGAAGTTACTGAGGTCTAAGTGATACCAAATGGACCATCACAAAAATAATATTTAATGTGGTGTCTGCCATTAAAAAGAAGTTATCACAGAACGTGATACAACATTTTTCAGAATTTAGTGCTAGCAAGTACCAAGAAAGCCTTTGTGAGCAGACTGTAACTGATTACTGTGCATTGGGATGGCCTGTGGTCCAGGAGGCAAATGTGTAATGTGTAAAGGACAAAGCCTTTTGAAAGCTAAATAAACTCTGCATTCATTTGAGCTTTAATTAAATGCTGTATTTGTGGAGCTTAGAAAATAATTTGGAAATTTAAATTTTAATCTTATTTTTAAATGTCAGCATGAAGCATTAGTGAAAGTCAGCATTTGTGTGTTTCTTGTATTGATCCCAGCTAAAAAAGGATGTCAGTGGCAGGGGGCAGCTGCCTTGTCCACAATGGTCAGATCCTCACTGCACAGCCTCGTGTGGAGCTGTGCTGCACGGTGCCCCTCAGATGCATCTCAGCCTGGGGTGGAGGTCTGCTGGTAAAAATGCTGGCTCTTTAGGCAGGGATTGTAGCACCTCAGGAAGCTTAATGCTTATGTGGAATTTAGCAGTAAAGATACCATCAGAAAATTAATATTACAGGCAAGAGAAATTTAAACCATTTTTTCAGATTGATTGCTGAAAATAGTATCCAGTAACAATTGTGATTTTATGGCAGATTAATGATTTTGCACTTTTATTATGTATATCTATATATATATGTGTGTGTGTGTGTGGATACCAATGCAGTATCCCTATCTCAGTTTATTATCAACAACACTGTTATGTGTGATTAGTATTAATGATTTCCCAATGATGCTAATATCAAATTTCTTCACTCCTCAGCCAGTCAATGAAACATTGGCTAATTTCTTATAGACTTCACAGATGAAGGAAATTTTGAAGAAAGAACTGACTATAGCATTTGTTACCAATAGGAAACATTGATTGGGCCTCTCATTCTCCTGCCCAAGATAATTTACAGGGTTTGTACCAAAAAGAAAAGCCTGCAGACTCTTGAGTGGTGTACAGATCTGCAAGAGCTTGATAGGAAAGTTTGTTTCAATCTATAGTTAGTCATTCAGTTTTAGAGGCAGTATTCCTTGTGGGTTTTAAGTGAGAAGCCAAAGCAGGCCTTAATAAAATGTATTCAAATATAGTTTTAAATATTGGGTGGCTGCCACTGCCCCATTATAAATGCAATTTAAGTCTTTCATGCATGTGAAGAAAATTGATGCAATTTTTCAGCTTACATAACTTTTTATTGTGCCAAATGGTTTTTATAAGTTCCATTAAAATCATACTGTTTATATAGCATGTATCTACCATATACTTAATAATTTATCTCTAACAGGTTATGGAAGACATTTCATTTGGAACAGAGGGTCATTTATCTGAGGTAAGTGTTTCCTAGGCAGTATAAAGTGGTGATACTGTACAGAATTTTCTTTGTCTCAATTAGAATAAATGACACTTGTGTTTATGGTGTTACCTTTGCTTAGAAATTGCACTTGTGTGAGCACTTGGAAAAAGCAACACAATCACAACGAGAGTGGGCCCATTCCTTTTTTTCTTTTTTCCTCCATTGAAGGTAATGGTGTAATTGTTGAGTATTTCAGGGAGTTTATAGTTAAAACCTGTGCTAATATTTTTAACACATACCAACAACAGGATGAACACACTGGGGAAAATAAGAACCAGTAATATTTAGCCAGCCCCACTGTAGCACTGTCATGATGCTTAGCCTGTTTTCTTGTGTGCCACTAAAAATACCTTTGAATTTATTTTTGAAGTATTCAAGCATAGTGCAGCAGAATACACCGTAATAGGAATTTCATCTAAACAAAAATGCTGGATGTTTGTAATTTTACACCATTTTCACAAATAACAAGATCTGAGAACCTAGTGCATGTATTTAAGAAAGCTAGGATAATTGAGGGACATGAGATGCATGGCCTATGAGAAAAACCTGCCAACATACACAAAACTGTCTACCTACAAACTAGGAGTTTAATACATGTGTAAGAAGAGTTACCCTGGGTCTAAGAGCTGTACTGTTGCAGTCTGGTCCATTTGTATATCAGTATGCCTTGGGTTTCAAATTACATAGTAAGGAAATTTAGTATCCAAGCATTGTGTACAGCCAGCAAATAAATTACATGTTCCAGTAACCCCCAGTTCACCTTCCATAGCAGCATACATGCCTCCTGTCAAGTACAACTGACAAGGGCTCCAAACCAGGTAAATATTAAATAAATAAATATTAAATTTAGGATAACTATTCAGATGAGGCATTTCTTTAGATTCCCACCAGTGAATCCAAAGACTGTGGAGCAGCTGGAATGATCCAGGAAGGATAATCTAACTGCAACACCAAGCTCAGATTGTTGACTTTGTGTTCAAGGAGACTGTGACATGGGGACACACCTAGGATAGATTGCTTGGCTGTGTGTGAGTTTAGCATAAATAAAAACAGGAAGCCTTGAGAATGAAGGTGAACCTTGCAGAAAATGCAAATGGCCTTTCTGATAAGTGAACTTTGCTGTGAATTATAGATAAACTGTGTGGCTGCTTGTGTCCATACATGACATGAAATAGGGACAGGGAAGCCTGTGGGATAAAGGCAGCACAAAGCCCTACTGCCATCAGGGCAAAATACTGAGGGCATCAGAGGTCACAGGTTTACAGGGCTGCCACTGTAGAAGTGTGCACCAAGAGCTTTATATCTTAAAGTCCTCAGAAGCAGAGAGACTTTCAAAGTTTTGGTGGAGGGGGACAAAAGTGCATAAAGAGAATATAAAGCAACAATAGAAATAAAAGAAAAGGAAATATGGCAGAAAGCCAGGCTCTACCACACTGCCACAGCTGGACTGATGGTGACTTGTAGAGAGCTCTCCACAAAGCTCTGTGAAAGTGTCAGCAGCCTGTACCATGTCAAGGTTTTACCTAAATGTACCTTTGGTGCTCTGGTCCCCTAATTCTCTCTGGTCAGTCTCCTCACTCCCTGCAGGGGAGCACCCAGTTAAGTCATTCCTGCATCTTAGTGCCTTGGGAACAGAGATGGGAATGAACAACACTAGGAACCACCTATAAATGAAACCCAGCTCTACTTACTCCTTGCACAGCAGGGTGTGGACACAGGAAAACAGTTTGGTACTTTTGTTTCTTTATCCAAGTCCTGACCCACTGTGAATTTTTATTGGTAAGTCAGTAAATAGCCTCATCCTCCCGCAGCAGGAGCTGGAATTGTCCCAGTGTAATTAAATGAGCCAGTGCAGTAGTGTGCTCTCATTTTAGAAAGTCTGCAATTAGGGAATATCTTCAGTCTAGTAGGGATGAGAATAGGAAGACTGCTGTCAGGCCACAGCAGGGTACTGGAAGGCAGTGAAAAACTATTCCTGCAGAGATGCTTTTCCAGGGACACTCCTCTGTAGCTGTAATGGGAGATACACAAAGGGAAGAATTGCCAACCCCACTGTAATTCTGATGAGTCATTTAACACTTCCATGTGGAGAAGGGTTAGGAATCAGTCCAAGCAAAGGGAGTGTGGGAAAAGTATGTTATGGTGGGAAAGAGGTAGGTCACAGCTGGCTGGAAGGCTTTATGCCTAACTTGTTGCATATGAGACAATGGGGAGTGTGTTGTAGTGCTGAAGTCTCCTAAATATATATAACCACACTGATGGAACAAGGGAGTGGTCTGTAAGTGGAGGGTGATAAGAGCAAAAGTAACTGGGAAACAGCCTTGATCCCTCTTCTGAGAGAAGTTAGATAGATGCCTCCATGAAAGAAAAGCTCATCTAAACAAAATCAGGGAAGCAACAGGGGAGTTTCTGTAGGACAGACTCTGTAGGAGGAGGATTCAGCAGATTTTCTTTGGTACTGTCCAGAAGACATCAGGTTTATAGTGTAGCACCATCTTCTTTTGGTGCAGAAAAGTGCAAATACAGTCACAGACTATATCAGCAGTTTTTCAGTGGCTCAAAAGTTCTGACAAGGAAAAGACAAAAGTGTTTGTAAGAATGAGTCTAGAAGCATACTGCTCAGTGTAAGTGTGAAGCAGCAAGACCCCTGAGCACACTAAGCTACATTAAACAGAAGACATCTGAAATGACAAGGGAGTTCAGGGATAAGTTAGATGCAAGGGAAAGGTGAAAGAAAGCATGGAAAGTGAAAGGTGAAGCACCTTTCTAATAGGAAAGGTGAAATGAGATCAGAATTTTTTTTCTTTCTTATTCTCTGTGCTTTTGGTCTTTTTAAAGATTGTAAGCTATGCCCAATTATGTAGTGCTCCTAGTATTCACTACCAGGTAGCAAGAGTAAAAGATCCAAAGGCAAATGAGATGTACTCAAGTGAGGCTAGACTGATGAAATTTCTCCTGAGCACATGGGAGCCAAGAAAAACAATCTCCAAACCATTAACAAGCTCCTTTGAAAACTCCTAGAGGAAGCTTGAAGTCCCAAGGGATCAGTAAAGGCAGACTTGTGTTTGCCTTTAAAAAGGAGGTAAGCCAGGAGTTTATGTGCCAGTCAACATAATTTCAATTAGGATTAGAGTTCCAAATGGTCTTGATAGATTGAAAGAATAGTCTGAAATCAATAAGAAGGGATATATTGAAAGACAGGTGCAAATTACATTTGAGAAAAAGAGTCGGATTTATGTATACAGATGGTAAATAGCAGCTAAATTGACAATACTGCAGAAAAAGAATCTAGGTTTATAGTGGACTGCAAATATAGTGGGATTCATTACCTTCATTGTGTTGGAAGAAAGGGCAAATGTCACTTGCAGCCTCATTACTGGGAATGTCAGTTGTAAGACAGAAATAATTACTGTGCTTAGCTGAGAATGCCAAAGCCTCCAGAGGACTATGGCTCTAGTCTGGATATCTCCCTCTATGGAAGACAGGAACATGGTGAAGAAAAGACGGAAAGGAATAGAAATAAAAAGTTTAGAAATCCTAGTCTAGTTGAAAGTCAAAGTCTTCAACCACATAAAACATATAATGATATATATATAAAACCACATAATGATATATAGGAGAACTATTAGTTATTGTTGTGTGCTATGTAAGGGTAAAATGGAATGTAACCAACTTGGTTTGTAGCAGGAAGAAAATCTGCTCACTGCAAGGGGACTTTAGCCCTGGAGCAGTCTGTACTCTCAACCAGAACCACTTAGCCCTGTCATCTGCTAAGAGCCGTGCATGCAGACACCAGCTGAGGACAGTCACAGCAGGCTTGGTCACACTGCCAGTGACAGAGAGGCTCTGGTGCTCCTTGGCTGCTTCCTGGACAGCCTTGCTGGTGTTGGTCATGAGCATCTCAGTGGCCTTCCTCATCTACAACAGCTGCCCAGGACAATGCACGTGGGTCAGTAAAACTGGGATGCAGAGGAGGAACACATTCTTTTGTTTGCTCCTCCCCTGCACTGTGGTCACCTCATGGCCATGCAGCTCATTTATCTAAGGGCATGTGTACTTAGCCTGCATGTGGTTGAAGCATCTGTTAAAGCAGGACAAATATGGATGGTTGCATTTTGTTTCTAGTAATTATTTAAGATATGTTGTGGCCTAACATTCTGGAGTTTCAAGTGCTGACAATTGCCATTAACTTCTGCAAGGGTCAAGGGAAAGCATGCAGCACTTCTGTCAACTGTAGATCACTGTTCTAAACCTTGTGCCATAATGTGAAGTATCTGCCTGCAAGGACACCTTTTTGTAGTTGTTACTTATGTTACTTTGAATTATTTTAACTATTATGTGGCCAAGGATGTATAGTGCATGTGAAAGAAATCTGGCTTTGACTCTGCAGAAGGTGTTCTAAAGCTTCTATTTTATTTGGATTATGATATTGCTGCTTGGAGTAAGGCAATGCCCTTTAGCAAAAGTTCTTCTGTAGGAAGAATGAATTTTAAGGATATATCTGGGAATCCTTCTTCTCAGCACAACCACCAAAGACTAATATGGACTCTAATCCTAAATAGAATTAAATTAATCTACAATGCCAATTCTTCTATATAAAATTGCTAAACTAGATGGAAGAGCATAGGAAGTGTTTGTACTGGAAAAGCTGATCAAACATTTTCCTCAAGTAACGCTGTCAAGGAGCTGTTGCTCACAGGTGGCTGTAATGTCTTGCAAAAGGGTAAAACAAAACACAGAAGATGAAAGTGGAAACCATTCCCTCTGCTCTTGATGCAATATGCTGATGTTACAGCAGTGCATCAGCTGGAATGTTGTCTGTTTTTACCATTTCTTGCATCAGACTTTCATGTCTTTGAGAAAGAATGAGAATTTCTACTTTGTCTGAGAAGCCAGAAGAATTTCACCTTAAAAACTAAATCACACCCATATTTGTGCTGTTTTCACCTGCTTAAGGATTTGGAGGGAAAAAAAAAAATCCAAGCCAGCTACATTCCCTGTTCAGAGAAAAATCCATAAAACAATATTGCCTCTCAGCTCTCTCCTGACTCCTGCTGTCTCTCCCAGCTGCTTCCTAAAAATGCCGTTAGAGCAAAAATAACCAAAATCTTCAGACTTACAGCATCTTGTAGCATTGGCATAACCTACAAGCTTGGATGAGTTGTATTTTATGAATAAGTTGAGCTTGAGGCAGAGTCCACTTTCCTCTCAGAGATATTGTTGATCAGTGTAAAGTGCCACTTTCCAACCAGGAGCTGTTCTGAATAGTTTGTGTATCGCTGACAGGGGTTTTCCTGCCCATATAGACAAATGTCAAATAAAAATGCTACCAATGATGTTACTAGGCATGAATGGCACTAAGAGAAATCTTTTCTATCTACTTCTCTGGGCTATCTAAACCTTTTTAAAATGAGGGCCTGGAGGCAGAAGCTATGGAAGTGGTTGAATACTTAGAATTATTGTGTATTTTTGAAAGCACTGTGTTTCTTCCATTTCTGTTTTTACATTTATTCATTTATTCATATAAATTCTGGAAAATCATAATTTATATAATGGTTCTCCTGCATTTTTCACATGACACCTGCAAGTAAATTCCTGGGAGCTGATGCTTGTCTAAGGTGTTGGAGGAACTTCTCATTTCAACTCAAAATCCAGCTGGATTATGTAGATACAGAAGTAGTTCATTCATATACAATTACAGCTGTAATAAAGAGAAATTAAGCTGCATTATTAGGATTTAAAGAGTAATTAAATATAACCTCAATCTTACAGAGCTGTTTTGGTTGCTCTGAAGTGCAGCCATAGCCATTTAGTTACATTAAATTGGTTTCAAGTGTTTAAAGACCTAAACAAGTTTGATTTGACTTTTACACTCTCAGATTTCCCTGCCTTCCCATATTGTTGTTACAATTGGTTACATTTGCCTAATATTTATTGTTCTTTTACCTTAATTTCCAAAAAAACCAAGATTTTCTTACATTATTAGGCAATGCCTTATGTACCCAAAATGTGATAATTCAGGAGGAATACCCTGCATTTTTTCATATGCAGAGCTTTCTCTACATGGTCATAATTTTAGATGTGCTTTCAGAGTACCTGTTTGATTTATTCCAATTTACTGATTTGTTTAGCCTGAGCCCTAAGTTCTCTTGGACAACAGTCATCTGTTCTTGCATGTGTGTCCCAGAATGATTCCCTAAGAGCTTTCTACTGATACAAATGGCCTGGGTTGTCCCACTCTGTAACAGCACATGGAGTCCTGCTGGTATGCTGAATAATAATTTAGTAGCTGGATGGAAGACTTTTTTCTCATCTTCTGTCACTGGTCTTCAGAAAAAGACATTCCCAGTTGCTGCAAGGAGAGTGTTTATTTTCTCCTGCCATGCTCTCAGTTTAAGAACAATGGGGTTTTTTCACATCCATACATTCTGTGGGGTGCTGCTGTAGGTTGTCAGGTTTGGTAATGCCTGGAAGTGGCAGCTCTGGTCCTGTGCACAGAGCCAGGGACTCTGTGCTCCTTTGTGTCAGAGCTGCAGGGGTTTGCAACATAGCCTCTTAATCAACCTACCTGTCCTGGGCCTGAGCTGCACCTGGTGCCAGTGGGATCTGCTGCATAGCCATGTCTGGGAAAGGCCCAAGGAAAGCAGAAGGGTAAAGCTCAGTGCCATAACAGAGGATGTGCCAGCAGGAAGAGCTCTTCTGGCATTCAACCCCATGTATGCAATGTACTGTGAGATGCAAAGTGAAAGGATAGCACACAACTGAGATCTGGTAAATGTGTTCACCAAAACTCAAATTGTTTCACAGTGGGCAGCATTCCAAAATGTATTAGTAAGATTTCTTTGGAAGGCCTCTGACTGAAGGTTTCATTTCTCTTAAACAACTGCTGGTGTCTTATAGCAACTGGTAAGTGCAAAGAACCCCAAGTACTTTTTTCTTTGAGGAGAAAAATTTTATGCAGATAGTATATGGCCACATTAGAAGCTGGCTTTATTAATGAGTGCACAGACCAGGTCTAGTGACAGTCCAGCTTTCTGGATTCCAGCTGATGAATTACTCATTTTTTTAACATGGTTCTAGCAGAAGTTCATCTTGGCACCGTAATGTTTTTTTACAAATAACCCCTGTCATTACTGTAGACAGCACTATGGTGCCATGGGAGGGAGAGGAAAGGCTTGTCTCAGAGCTGTGGAAATGGATTGATTTTTTTTCCTCTCTTCTCATATTTTCTGCTTATTTGGATCATTTCTCAAAGTACTACTCAATGCAAAATATAAAAAATAGCAATTACCCTTGTGCAATGTATCTGAAAAAACTTATGAGAAGGACTTTGAAATTGGTTTAAAATACTCAGTTTAAAATAGAAAAAGTATTTGCCATCTGTAAGTTCTAAGTAGAGAAATGTTATTTTTGAAAATTTAGTCTTGTTTAATGATAACTCAGTAAAAAAGTACAGTTTCCTCTTGTAATCTCAAAGACTTTGATTTTTCTTTTCTTTTGTATTTTCTTTTACTGCTTGAGCAAAGTCCCCAAGTGATCTAGCCAGATTTTTCTTCAAAAATATAAGTACATTTTATGCGTATAAGAGTTACCAAAATGTTGCTGCTTGAAACACTTACATGACCTAAAAGTATAAGTCATATTTATTTACATGAAAAACTTGAAATTTGGGTACCTTAATGAGTGGTAAGCATGAGACTTCCATCCCCTGCTGTGATGAGACAAGGGGGGAGAAAGTTCAGAGTAGTTGTCTTCACACCCCTAATCATCTGCTGAAAGTGAGGTGGTGACTTTTTTTTCTGCTGGGAAGGAGACTGAGACCACAAGCTCATTCCATTTCAGATTAATCACCAATTTATTATATAGAAACAGCTTTTCGTCTCTCTAATGGGAATTTGCTTTTAGGCAATGTCTTTGCACTGCAAAGTATCATATTCCCTTACTAGTATTTTATTTTCCCTTTAATTTGATGCAAATTTGATGTAGAAAAGTGCAGTCAGCAGCAAACGTGCTTTCTTTTATTTTTCAACTTTCTGTAGGAGTTCTTCATATTTTCTGCAGAGTTGGGAGAAAAATGTGAAGCAATAAGTGAGAAATTGGTGCATCTGGAAGATCAATTGCAAAGTTCCGCCTGCAGAGTTGATGAAGGAGTTATTCATATCCTTTTCTCTATAGCTATGGATACGTATCAATCTCTGTAAGTATGCACATGAGGTACTTGCCTGTCAGATTGGCATGGAGTGCTAGTTCTTAGTGTAGGTTAGATGCATTAAGAATGGGAGAAATTATTGTCTTGCTGAAATGGGCATTTTTGTGTAGTAAGTTTTCCTATAATGCATATTTTTTAAAAAATTGATTTAAACAGAAGTTAGTTCTTTGTAAATTATGATTGGGTACTGAAAAGCCTTTATTTTACTGTTAAAATCCTTTTGTTGGTAATGCTCATATAATTAAATACATAGCACACCAAAAGCTGCATGGATATGAGTGTCCATGCACCTGCATTTCCCAACATGATTTAGCTGAATTAGATGCTGTATTATTGACTCAGACTGTATATATTGTCACCTGTAGTTTGGGGTTTTTTCTTTTTTAAACAAATGGGCAACAGATGCATCATATGTCATCCTACACATGATAATCTGCCTCTAACACTCCAGTGCAAGTAAACAGATGAGATATTGTCTTATGCCCACTTACTTATCTCTTTCTGTGCTTTATCTGTCAGTTTTTCTGAAGATTGCTTAACCTTTATGAGAAATTCCTTGGCCATTTCTTTCAAAATTTAAGAACATGAAGTTTTGTTTCATTTGTAACTGTCGTAGGAAAAACTTTCATAAAAGGGATTTTGTTCTTCTAAGAAAGGGCAAAGAAAATAAGAACCAATGAAGCTGAGGAAGATGAGAGTACTGAGCTGGTTAGGTTTTAGTAGAGAAGAGGTGGCAGTCGAGAGGATCACGAAGAAAGAGAGATACTTTCAAAGTGCAGAGATTAGCAGAGGAGCCCTTGGAGACATCTGAATGTGAGTAGGGGTGGTGATGGTGCTAGAAAGGATTCAGTTCCTGCTAAGAGAAGGTGGAAAGTCCTACAGAGGATAGTTTAGAGAAAGGAGAATAAATAGTGTGTGGAAATACCACTGTGTTTTAAGTAATTGGGCATCTATTACAAGTCATTGCAGAATTCCTATTCTAGAAACTTGGTTTCTTTAAAGGTAGGAGAAGGATAAAAAGTGCAAGGGGAAGAGGGAAGGAGGAATGGTGCTGGGGGAAGGGGATTTGGGTTGGAGGAGAGAAATCCAGTCAGTAATTTGTCACTGTAAATGTTTCTTTTCTAAGCATTTCCATATACACACAATATACAGAAAGATTATTCAAAATTATTTTCATTATACTTGCAGTGTTCAGGCTTGGTTGCAGTTGTGTTTCTCCAGTGCATTATTCTCAGAGCTGTATGGGTGTGTCTCATGTGTGTGTGTGCAGAGCATCCAATTCCTTTCTCCCTTGCATATATTTACTCTCAAATGAGCTTTCTCAGTGGCCCTTACAGAACACTGAGGGTTGAAGTTATAGGTGCTTTGCAGCGGACTTAAGTTAATATTCAAACTGAACAGTCACATCTGATCATAGTTAAACTTTACTAGGTAATGTGAAATAAGCCAGAAAACTTCATTTTTGTCTCCAGAAGATAGTACACTACATATATGTGAAATAGTAGTGTTTCTTATGTTCTATGGAGTGTGCCTGTTTCTTCACAGCTGTTGACACTGCAAGAGTTAGTTAAAAAATAAAATTAATAATTGTAAATTTCAGGATAGTTGTAGATTAGTCTCATTTTAAGCCACATTTTTCTGATAGAGATCTGACTTCCTCTATCAGTGAAATTCAGCTCATGTTATCTAAATACAGAAATGCACAGTATGTGATATCCTGGTCCTAGCAAGACCATCAGTCACAAAATAAGAAAACATGTTTAAAAAACAGAGATGTACAAAGAAGCAGTTCAGCAATTCAGCTACCCCTTATTAACATTAAGTTGCTGTTTCAGAGGTAGTCCAGGTCAATGTGCATAAAATGTTACCATCTGGTACATATAATCACTGTGTTGTACTTCAAAAAGGAATGAGAAAAATAGCTACCACAGTGCTACAGACCTGTAGATTGGGGTTTTTTTTTATATAAAGACTGCTCAGTGCCTATAAAATTAGCTTTCACTCATTGGTAACTTGCCTGCATTGCAGGAACTAAGCTAAGAGACAGCAATTAGCCTCAGTAGAGGAATTTATTTAATAGATGAATCTGTTGTTTGCATGGTAATCTATTTGATTTTAGATAAAACTATTAAGATAAAACTATTAAGATAAAACTAAAATTTCCTATCACAGATACTGGACAATCATGCAGTTGTCATTAAAATCTGGAGAACTTCGAGAACAGGAGCCTAAAGACCTGAAATAGTAATGAAAGGATAAATTTTTCCAAGTCCATTCACAGGTTATTTTCACCATTCCCATATTTCTCCCTAAAAACTGCCTTACACATAAATGTTACAAAATGTATTAGGTCAAAAATCTAACTGGGAGCTGCACAGATGTAAATAAGTCCTGTGGTCTGATTATTAAAAGACTCCACTGAGAAAAATAAATTCCTGATGCTCTTGAGCCATTTTCCAGTATTTAGTGTGTGTCATAGCTTTGATTAATAATTAAGTTTGTATTGGAAGAAAAAACCCAGATGTCATTGTTTTTCATTCTCTGTTTTGATGGCATAGCACACTTAAATCAACCATGCTGCTCATCATAAGTGCCAGCACAACTTGAACAAAGGAGAAATCCAGTGATATTTCTTGGCCCTGAGTATAGGCACAGACCCACTTGCAATTCTAATTTATTGTTGAAATCTTTCATAAAAACCATTAAACTGCCCTTCTTTGTAAAAAGCATCAAACCATAGGGGCATGGGAGTGGATGTTAAAGTTCTCTGCAGCACTACGACATATTTGCTAAATCCTATGTAGTATAACCAAATAAACCTGCAAAATATTCAGTTATGGTTGATCATTAATGAGTGTATGAAAACAGGCCACATCATTAATTGGAAAAACCAAAGGATGAGAGGTGACTCATTATGGTGTCTGCAGAGCTGATGAGAGGTGTTACTTTCCTAACAGTAAAGGCCTGGAATTCCCACTAAAATTAAATGGAGCCTATATTGCAATTTCACAGTCATTTTTTGTTCTTAATGAGTAGTTACATTTTGATAGACAATTTGAATGCATGTAATAGTTCCTCTTGGTGAAAATGCTTTGTTGGAAGAAAACCTAGCTGTAGTATTATTACAAAAACAATCTTCTTTCCTTGCCCTAAAATGGGCATTTTAATCAGTTATTCTGATAGCAGAATTTTGTGCCTAAACATAGCTTAGCAAAATGACCTGAGAAGTTTAATCATTCACCTTTATCCTGCAGCAGGCTCCCACACCAGTCTTGTTTTGCCCCAGAGCAGGTTTTCAACAGAATCATGTAAACTTTAGCCCTGTCTGTAGCTCAGTGGGGAATCTCACTCTGGGTGAACCTTTAAGAGATTTTGGAATCCTCCAAGAGTTAGAGGTGGCAATGGCACCCTCTTTGATTTTATTTCAGATGACAGGAGGGTGAGGTCTTCCTACGGTGTGTCACACAGAGAACATGGTTCCACTTGTATATTTTATGCTCTGATAAAGGTAGGTCAGTGTATTTCCACCCAGGTCCTGCAATTTCTTTGCCTTCCACTTTCTGTTGGAGCAAGCAATTTCAAAGTAGCTGATATTCAGACCACTGAAGGGTTCTGTTTTTCAGTATGTAGCTGTCATTCTGTTTCTGGTTTTTGTCTAGTAGTTTTTGGGGGAGTATTTTGGGTTTTGCATGGGAGGGGTATTATCTTAGTTTATAGAAATAACGTACATAGATGTGAAGGAGGGCAACAGTAATCAAGGGGGTAATTGAGAAAATTCTAATTGGTTGCACTACTGCAAGTACCCCTGAATTTTGTAAGGAGAAATGATGGATTTCCAAAGGTCATTTTACTCTCTTGCTGTGACACCACACAGAAACAGCAGGGACTTGCTTAGTATCTTTTCCTTGCTGCCAAGGATGCTCTTCAAAAAGGCCAAAACCCAGGTCATTCAAAAGACTTACTGAATTGTCTTGGCTCTTCACTGGTCCTTTGGCATGTAGCACACACAATCAAATAATTATTTAACTGGAAATGACCTTTTGAGATCATCTGGTCCAACTCCTTGCTCAAGCAGGGTCACTTAGAGGAGGTTGCCCAGGATGTTGTCCAGTCAGATTTTGAATATCCCCAAGGATGAACACTGCGCAACCTGATTGTGCAACACAGTCCAGTGTTTGACCACCTTCAAACAAAAAAAAGTCCTCATGTATTCAGATTCAATTTCCTATCTTGGAATTTCTCGCTGTTGCTTCTTGTTCTGTCAGTGGACAAAAAAAAGTCAGAAGAGTCTGGCTCCCTCTTCCTCATTCCTGTTTTTCAGTTATACACAATGGTAGTATCCCGTGAGCCTTCTTTTCTTCAGGTTGAAGAGTCCCAGCTGTCTCAGCATCTCCTCATGTGATGGATACTCAAGTCCATTAAACTGGTCCCGTGCTGGAGTCATTCCAGTAAGTCCTCTCTTATTGTGGAACCCACAACATCCAGATAGGAACTTACAAGTGCTGATAAGGGTGAAAGGATCATTTCCCTCTGCCTGCTGGCTGTGTTTTTGTTAATCCAGACTGGGAGGCACCTTTGCCTCATGGCACATTGCCGGTGTACAGTTTATTGTCCACCATGACTCCAAGGTCCTTTTCTACAGAGCAATTTTCCATCTGGCTTAGCCTCTCCAAGGGTGCTGGTGCCTGGCGTTAAAAGTGACACTTGCATGACACAAGTGGTGACACATGGAGCTGAGCTTCTGTCTGCAGGCACTGTAGAGTTTGGCTTTTGGAAACACGCAGAATAGTTAACCAGGTTAGAAACAAGAACAACCAAAAACCTCTTTTTGATTATTTCTGTTCTTCAAGAACTAATTTCTTCTTCAGATGTCCAAAAAATGCAGTTACTTTCCAAAATCCCATTGGCCTTTATCTCAGAGCAGTAGTAGTCCTTCATAGTCCTTCCAATGTCTTTTATCTTATAACATGTACTCTCAGTTTCTAACCTTTCCTATAGGAAGGCAACTGATCCATAACATCTACTTTTTGTCTCTTTTCCCTGAACATCTGGGCTGAGAGATCAGAAGCTGCATTTGAGCAAAATGATCCCATTTTTTCCAAAGCTTAAATAAGTCTCTACAGTAATTTGATCTGCTTTTTATCTGCTTGCAAATCATGGGCTCTGAGATGATGCTCAAGTTTTTCAAAGAGACAAAGTTAAATAGGTGAAAAGTTTAAAGCAAGAAAATGTTAGACCTGCAGCATTGTTGAATATGGGTTGTACTGGTTCCCAAGTACTTTAATTTACTGCTTTTTTGACATTGTGGAGTTTTTTTCAGTTTTCAGAAGAAGACAGCAGAACCAGAAAATATTCCTAGCTGGAACTTGTTTTCACTCCTGTCTTGGATACTGGCTCAATATTTGCAGCACTGGATAGAGAATTTGTGCATGAAGGACACATACGCATGTGGACCCATGCAAAACTCTTTATTTTCATTTTTAAAATGGGTGGAGCTGTTTCTCTAGATATAACCTGTGTCTGGATAGAGATGCCATGCTCTGCCATATACCATATATTTGTCTTAGCCATAAAGGCCCATTTGACAGTTACTTGTCTACATATGATTGTGGTGTTATTTATGAGGTTATTGGTACTTGCTATACTTAGACTATGCAGTCATCTTTTTTTGTTGCTCCATCTTTCTGTTGGTTGACAGGTTTTTTCCTGTCTTCCTCATTTTCTTCCATCCTTTAAGGTTTCTCAGCCACTGTCACTGAAACATTTTAATTTTGCTTTTTCTCTCTACTTGAAAAGAATTTTGTAGTTGCCTGGGATATTACAAGTAACAGCATGTAGCCAGAGACTACACATCAGAATTAAACTTCAGAAGGTTTATGGTGTTCATGGATTGCAGGATTTACGTTTAACAGTTAGGTTTTCAGTAGAGACTTATGATTAATTTGCAGAGAGGTGGAGAATCCAGGACTTAGAAGAGGATAATCATATTTCTTACTTCAGAGAAGATGCAAAGCATAATTAATTTGTCCTTGTACAGTGCTTTGTGATCCTGGGATAGGAGAAGCTTTGTGTGTACTGCTACTACTCATAATCAGAGACAGAAGCCCTTTAGATTAACAGAGCTGTCCAGAAATTAGAAATATGCATGAACATATTAAGAGCAAAATATCATAGCAAATGCATGTAAATACACAAAGATGAAGTTTTGGGGAATTGATAACAGAATCAAAAGCAGCCAAGACTTTTCAAAGACATAAGAATGATTCCTGAAAGAGCTGTGGTTGTTACAGCTTTACCATGGTCCAGTCACAATTTTTCAAAAGTAGCAGCTTAGTTTTTGCAGTCCCATAACCTGAGCCCATCCTTTCTTTTTGACATTGCATTAACATTGCGGTCAAGTAAAACAACATTTCCTAATGTCTGAGCTCTGCAAAGGACAGACTGTCCTTGTGCATTATTATTTTTGTGTGTTGTACTTTTGAAACTGAGTTGTTTCAGTGTCATCCTGTTTCACTTCCCTTGAAGTCAGATTCTGGCATAATTTGATAACATACTGCTAGAAATGAACCAATTTCTGTCTTTTGGTGCCTTTGCCCTTCATCCATACCTGTCCAGGAGGCCTCAGTGGGATGGGATGGGCCCTTGGGTTTGTTCATAGACTTGATCATTGGTTTACTATTTCAGCAGGCTCTGACTTGCCTCTGCTTGCTTTCTTCTCCACACAAAGTAAGCTATAGAAGAGAGAATAAAATTGGTTGTCTCATTGAGCTTGGACTTCTTCCAACAGTAGATAGTGTTGCTGATTTAAGATTATCAGCCGAAAGCCTAGTAGATTGGTAGTACAAACTTATTCCCAGTCATAGCACAAAAAGCTGTACTGCCAAGGAAGCCTAGTCCCTTAAAGGCCTGTGCACATGACAGAAGTTCCTACTGTCTCTGTGAATGTCCTGCCTTTGTCTGCACCCCTTGTTGCCACCATGTGACACCCTCCCTCTCGTCACTGTGGAGCTGGGAAAGAGGCAAGTGGAAGGTCTCTTTCAGAGGCTGAGCCATTCCCCATCAGTTTCTTCCTGAATTCATTGCAGGAACCCTACAATGAAATGTGGAAAACTCTTTCTTAACCAAATGAAGCATTTTATACTAATTATTGTATATTTTCAGGTGGCCTTCTTCCTTTTAATGCATGACAGTACAACCTCATTACTGCCCTCTTTGCTTTTCAACTTGTTCAAAGCATTCCCTGTGGAGTCTTGTATAGCTTTATGTTTGTGTATTCTGCACTGTAATTATAATGATAATTCAGCTAACATGAAAGCTTTCTGGAGGTAAGTGTAGCAGAAACACTTCTCTGCTGTCAGCTAATTTTGCTCCTTACCTAGATTCCCACCCCACCTTGCATAGCACACGTTGAGGTCACTAATGCCACACAAGCTGTGGTCACTTGGGTTTGTTTCAGACTACTCCTGTTGCCTTCACCTGGACTGTGTCTCTGGCATAAAATTCTACCCTCCATCCATCAGGAACTCACACCTAGTGCTGCTGCCTCCATGGTACACAATATTTTTTGTCTCCTTCCTTTTTTTCCCATGAGAGCAGTATCCAAGCAGTATCCCCCATCCCCTCCCTTTTTTAAACTGCTAAATAATGCTACTTGAGAACTTGAGTTTGCCTGCATTTTTCTTTTGCTAGCAAGTGTGAGAAATGTATTAATATTTAATCCAAACAATTTGGAAGAAGTTGAAGCTACAATTAGATAGCCATGGCCATCTGTTGTGAACAGCAGAACAAGAATGTACTTAATAACTTGGAAAGAGAAAAGGGACTGCCAATCACCTATAGAATATTCCTTAATAAAGCTTGCACAGTCTCTGCAGAGGGAGATCCAGGTGGTGAAGGAGACACTCCAGACCGTGCTGGTGCAACTTCAGTCAGCCAAGGAGGCAGGAGAAGAAAAGGCTGGAGACTTCCTCTGTGACAGCTGGTGTCCAGGAAAACAAGACTTGAAGGAATAATGAGCAGAAAGAGCTGGTAGGATGACATTAATTCACAAAGGGCTGCTTTTAGTAACTGAATACTGTTTTACTAAGCCTCAGGGATCTCTTCTCTCCCCTGCATAACTAATAACTAAATCAATTATGGAGAAACAGAGCCTGGAGGTCTATCATCAGAAGTGTGCTACGCAGCCTCATATGTTTTGGCACAGATTGGGAAACAGCTTTCAGAGCAGAGCAGCTCCTGTAAATGTGTAGATTACAAATTGATACATTTCAAGTGAGTCCGCAAAGTTGCCTTTAATGTCAGTGAAGTGTTCTCCTTGAAGGCTCATAAACACTGTCTTCCTCTACTCATGGATTTTTTCCCCTGATTTAAAATGCAACATTAAAGCTGGAACATCTAGTATTTCTTGGAAAATAGCTCTAAGAATAATAAGAACTTTTTTTTCCCCCTCTTTGGCTTTAACAGCTTTCTTACCGAATGTATTTTCACATTCCTGCCAATAATTAAATCAATAGGGTGAAATTCAAGCTAACCATGTTCTTTCAACTGAAATTTGGATCTCATTTGCTCTGTGGTATTAAGTACAGTGGAGGTAACTAACAGCAGCCCCTATAGGAGTAGTTTAACTCAATTTATTTAGGTATTAATATAAACTTTCTTTAGTATTACAGGGGTTGTAAAGCAACAAAAAAAATCCAATGTTGATGATTTGTGTTGCTTATATTTAAATATTGTATGAACAAGAAGTCATTTAAATCTTGTTGTAAAGATTACTACCATTACTTTGATCTTCCTTGTGAGCTTCAGAAGGAATGCAGATTTTTTTGCAAGACGTGTATGTCAATATATATACACGTGCATAGTTAAACATATATTTTTATAGGAAATAAAAGCAATACTCAGCTGAAGCTAACTGCATAATTGTTCAAATGAGTTAATGTCTTCAAAAATTCATGTGTACTTCTACTTTGATACCAGTATATCTCTGATACCATAAAAATTCTGTTGCAGAGGAAGAATTAAAAAAAAAAATCTTAATTTTTAAAAACACAATAGAAAATGTCTTGCAACGGATACTGTACTTTTTTGATACTTTCTGTCATTTTTAGAATTACTCTTCTACTTCAGTTACATTTTATAGCCACATTGTGTTGTTGCAAATTTTGAAGGTCATTGGACTACTTTCCCACTAAGATCCTGTTCATTTTTGGTGCGTTTTAATGCTAGTTGAAACTTCTACCTCAGTGTTAAGTACAGAAGGAGGGAGGGGAAAAAAAGTGCCAGGCAGCTGAGACATACAACAGGATTATAATTGCCTCCAGGAGCATATGGTTGTCAAAGCAGGGCAGAGAGCTCAGGTGGTTTCTATCGTCATCAGATCCTCAGGGTTGCATTACAGCCCTGTAATTCAGAACATGGTTGACTTTTCTCACTGAGTAATATATGGGCCAGCATCCCTTTACATTGTGGTAGAGACTCTTGGAGCTCCAGCTTGCATGGACTCTGCTACTTGGTTCCCTAATGGAGATCTCTTGCTGTTCTGCTTGACAAGTTTATCTCTCCACATCCCTCTTCAATACCTACCTCCCCACCACAGCTCTGGCACTTTCTGAAGCTCCCCATAACAGATGAACAAGGTGTTTGCCTCCAGCTCAGGGCAGGAGACAAGTGCAGGTGGCACCCTGACATTGAGCCCACGCACAGGAACAGCTCCAGAGCAAAACCTGCCTGCCAGAAAGCACTCATGGAAACCCACATGAGTTCGGGTAAAGAGGAAAGAGAGCACTCTGACAAGACACTCTTGAAACTGTTAAGATAGCTCTTAAAACTGTTTCTTTAACACCCATAGAGCTGCCTGGGGTTCAATACCACAGAGGGCCCAGGTACTGCATTTCCAGCAAGGAGCATTTATATCGGACCCTTAGAACAGTCCCAGGGATGATGGCCAGTGCACTAAAGTAAGGTTTCATGACACCCCACTCTTCCACCCTGCAGAGTTTTGTCCTTTGAATACTTAGTGCCTGCAATGTAAAGTTGTTAGGCCCTAGAAGTGCCTTAGAGCCAGGATCAGCTACAGCTGAAGCCTCAGGTCTGTCTCCTTGCAGCAGCAAGGGCTCAACAACAGGAATAGGACCCAACCATCACAGGGGCAGGAGAACAGCACCCTCATTGCCACTAGCAAGGTTTCTTGAAGACATTCCCATTCAATTAAAAAAATTGTATGGCTTTTGTGTTTCAAAGCTTCAGAGCACTACTGCATCTTAATAAAAACTCAGTTTAGGCAACCACTCTAATAAGACACTGAATTTCTAAGGAGAAGGGAAACTGAATCAGTCATCATTGATGTTATGTTTGTATCTGTTAACATCTATTTTATATGTAACATGGACTACTACTACTCCCTTAATTTATTGTTCCATTAACTTCATTGTTTGTTGTGGGAAGTTAGAGCCAGTAACCATCCCTTTTCTGAGACACATGTGATAATAAGCATACTTTAAAAAAAAGGTCTACTATGCAATGTATCAGCTGCCTTTTATCTGTGAATAGAAAATTTTCAAATAAAGAGAAGTATGTTTTTAACTAACCCAATGTCTGTTTGCATTCTGTGTAGTGTACAGCATTTTAGAAGCTTCATCACAGTGAATGGAGGAAAGAAAAGGAGAAAGAAACCATGTGTGTGACTATTATTGTGCTGCTGACAGCAGTTATTCATCTGCTTGGGCTAGCCTGTTATGTCTTTTGAAAACAGTCTAAAGACATATTCAAGACTAAAGCCTGACAGCAACATGTAGTTCTTTTCAGTATGAGAGGGAGAAATAAGTATCACACAGTGAACTGTACAGACAGGTAAAACCTGCACTTAGGTCCCAGCTTGATCAGTCATGGTGTGCAGCTAAGTCCTGCCTGCCCTGCCTCAGTTCCTCACCCATGGATAAGGGCTGAAGGAAGAGCAGCACGACTGTGCCTTGGCTACAGCAATATCTGAGGCCAAAGTTATGCTCTTACACACATTCATTGCCACCATGAGAGGTAGCAGAGTGTGTATGGTGTCCCGAGAACCACTTTCATACATTGTTGCTAGAATTCTCACTTCTGGGCAGACTGGTCTCCCACCACCTGCAAACAACAAAAATCTCCAGAAAGAAGTTCCTTTCCTGCCCAGATCATGCTATCCATAGACCCAAGAGGTTTAAAGCCCAGACCCAAAAGGTTTAAAGACAAAAAGGCAAATAAGGCTTTGTGTGTTTTCTTCTGCCACAGCAACAGAATAATAAAATAATTTAGGTTAAGACCTTAAGTCTGAGCCCAACCATTCACCCAACACTGCCAAGAAAGTACACCACTAAAATACATCCATAAGTGCCACATCAACACATCTTTTAAATACTTCCAGCACTGGTGACACCACCACCTCCCTGTGCAGCCTGATCCAATGCTTGATGGCCCTTTCAGTGAAGAATTTTTTCTTGATATCTAACATTAACCTCCCCTGGTTAATGAGGGGATTCCCTCTTGATCCTGTTACTTGTTACCTGGGAGAAGAGGCCAACCCCCACCTGGCTACAGCCTCCAAGCAGTTGTAGAGAGTGATATGGTCCCTCCTGAGCCTCCTTTTCTCCAGGCTGAACATCCCCATATCCCTCAGCTGCTCCTCATCAAATTTGTGTTCCAGACCAGCTCCCTTGCTCCTCCAGAGCACACACGGTGAACTGCTCCAGGAGAGCTGCAAGATGAGGAAAAGTAGCTCACCTTTAGCAGTCCCTTTCATGTGCTTTGTGGGAGGAGTGGTTGATTTTGTTGAATACACCCCCCCTCAGTGTACAAACATGCTCTCAAGGGACTAAAGACTGAAGCAAGGAGAAGAGAGCACTCCAAAGGGTGTTCAGCTCCAGCCTAATATTGCTTTTCACAATCAATTAGCTAATCCATTATTTCTAAAGCATGACAGCTCAGGCTTTTGCTATCATTACTTGTTAAATCAAGATAAGTGCCTGTTTTCTAGAGCATTGGAGAAGGCAGTTCAATAATGGGTCCCAGATAGGCAGTAGTGCTGGAGAGAGCTCCAGGGTGAGATTAGAATAATCCTCATGTATCCTCTTAGTTTACTATCCTATTAAAAATGAGGCTGGGACCAAGAGATTTTTTTTTAAGTCTCAGAGATTACCATGCTACAAAGCAGCTCTAAAATACTGAATATTTTTCTGCACTGCTAAAGATGATAATACAAGTTTCTGGAGAAGCATTAAAAAATAATAAGAAGAAAGGGCCTGTGAATAAAGGAGATTCTGCCTGAACCTGAAAAGCTGCCAAGCCAGCAGCCACTGTAAAGCATACTTCTCTTTATTTGAAAATTTATCTCAAATTTCTAATGAAGACTTGGATATGAGGTCTGGGAAAAGAACATCTGGGGTTGAGTGAGTAAGGAAATGTTTGAATTCTGCACATGCATGGTATTCAGCCACACTTTCCCTTTTCCTTATCTGGAAGAGCACGGTCTTTGGGAAGGGGTTGTTGGGGCATTGTCAAAGACACATAAGGTCAATACAACACTAGACTATTTGTTCTTGTAATCACCTGCAAAGTTGAATAAATTGTTTAAAATAAAACCAGCCTTCCAGGAACACTAAGTGGCAAGAGAGAGAAAACATTAAACTAGTCAGGCACAGGTAGGAGACACATGATGGATCTCACTGGAGAAACGGAAAATTAAGAGACCTTTTCACAGTGACCATCCAATTTACAAAAAGAATATTACCTTGAATTTATTACTTCTCTGACACTGAGACTTTGAAACTCCAAAGGAAAGACCTCTCTGTTTTCTTGTCAAAGTAGGCTTAAGATTTTGTCTATCAGCTCAATCCCAAAACCTAGAGTTTTGTGCCCACTCTCATGTTTCCCTGTAGTAGCAGTTCCAGGGCAATGCTCAGGAGCAGCAGCAGGGAACCATGCACAGCTCTACAGGTAGAACTTCAGGGCTGCGTCACAGTTTATTCCTTTAATTTCAATAACATGAGCTCCTGGAGCAGCAGCTGACTGGTTGACCCAGC